TGAGTGAAGGGGAAACCCTAGGACCGGGCTTTGTTTTTCCCTTTAGTTAATTCGTCCAGCCCTTTTCTCCCTTTTGGTCCACTTTGTTGCGGGATCTTTGTTTTCCTGCCCTAGGGGACCCTTTTCCCTTGTGACATAGGAACAAGGACTTCTCTCCACTTGATCCATGCTAGATAGGGGGCTTTTAACCCCTGCCTCTCCATACTTTGGTCACTCAAGACCGCTGAGCCTACGCTCAACTGTATTCTATGACGGGCCGCTGAGCCAACCCCAATTCGATCCACTGCCCCGCACGGGCTCCCAGAGGCTTTTTCCTTACGCTCCAAAGGGGCTGTTGCCCCACCGTTGACTGTGGTTGCATTTCCCAACGGGGCTGAGCCCCCGTACAAGCTGGACGGACATTTTGATGGAACCGGGGGGCGAACCCCCTCGATCCAGTTGATTGCATTTTCCCTCTTTTGCATATCGCATATCTCACCGCTGGCACCCGCAAATGGCGGGGGCGCACCTGCGCGCGGTGTAGGGGGGCTTGCTCCCCTGCACCACAACCCTGTGGAAAGAAAGAAAGAAAGAGAGAGAGAGAGAGAGTGACACACAGCACGCACGCACAGACGCCCACGTGCGCATGCATGCAAAGACCCACACAGACAGGCAGGTCTTGTCATACATTTCTTGCTGCCATTGTTCTAGGTGGGCCTTTGACCAAGATGTTTACTCTGACACGCAAACTGTTTGCCAAACTCACGTAAGTTGCAATGACTGAATACATTGTTCATGCAATACATTATAGATGTGACGTACAGGCGTCTTCGCGGGCACGACTGTATGTAGGCTCTGCAAGACGGTCAGTACAGTCTGCACTGAGAAAAGTTTCCGTCCGATTGGAGCAGCTGCGTGTGGTTAATTAACCAGACCGGATATCAGTGTCCAATGCAAGCCTCTTCGTTGGGCGGGGCTGGCTGGCATGCATTTCCAGCCATGCTGCTGTAGCGGAATTTCAATATCAACCACTTCGGACTAAGCTTAACCGGCTTAACCATGAGGCGCACACACAGACCATCCTTGAGAAAGGGTTCCACACACACACACAGAGACACAGACTCACCCACACAACACAAGCGCATGCACACGCACACACAGACACACACACGCGCACGCACACAGACACAGACACCGACAGAGAAAGACAGAGAGAGGGACTCTTCCCCTAGGCCTCGGAGAACAGAACAGAGAGAGAGAGAGAGATGGGCCGCCTGAAAGCACCCCAGAGCATCTCTGCTACATCGTGGGAGGCCCGAGGAGTTGGAGGACGTGATTGGAGGGCTTCCGACGTCGCCGAGTCTGGCCGAGGTCCGGGAGATTGTTTGTTCAGCGCTGTAGAGGATCTGCTGGAACAGGTGGAAAGAGCAGTGTCTCTCCTAGCATGTTGCTGCACAGCTGCGTATGTCCCTGTGACGACTGGCATCTATCATAGTTTTGAGCATAGCTTGATGCATGTGTTCATGACCAGCAACGCACAGGACCTGGGTTCGACTTTTGTTGGTCAGACGCTGCTTGCCTTGGGACGAGGCCTTGGTCGCTGAGTAACTTCTGTACCTTTTCGCCTGGCGAGTGCGCTCTGAGGACGAGGATGACACCGCAACAAGACCAGCAGCAAAAAGCATCGCGACAACGCCAGTATCCGCGGCATCGTCAGCGGCGGTAGCAGCCGTACTCACAATGAGAGCCTTCACAATACACCGTAGCACCTACCTCGACACCAGCACGGCACACATGCGCACGGCACATGCCGACAGCAAGACGATTAAGGCGTGTTTGGTTTGCATGTTATTCTTGTTTTCGGGCCGTCTTGCCCCGCTTTCTTCGGAAGGCCAACACCCGCGAATCGGTGATGGGGAGCAGCATGAGAAAGCCGTGATATTTGCGACAATTCCGTGCTTCACGCATATTTTATGACATCTTGGGCATCAGCTCACCGGCGGACGCACTGGTGACATAGAAGTTATCATGGTTATGCTCTGACCACCACATGCACTAGTGACAGTAGTGCTACTGATGATCTGGGCGATTCCAGTGGGCAAGAGATGCACTGGTCACCTGCGCGAAACCAGGATTTGGCATGCGCGCATTGGCCAATGAATGCACAGGCGACAGGGACATCATCATATTTTGGGCATGACTGCTCTGACCAACAGATGCACGGTGGCCGGACTTTGTCTTGGCTTGGGCATGGTGTTGATCATGGTGAAACACAGTAAGCTGCTTAAACCCAAAACACATGGTCGTGCCCAGGCAAGAGTAAGAACTGATCCAACAACAGCAGCAGCATCATCACCACCATCACCACCATCACCACCATCACTAGTCACCACCGCCACCATTGCCAACAACAACAGCAGCCGGGCTGGAAAAGAAACAACAAGCGCGGCCGTTACTACGTTACTACGGCAGTTCTTCCTATTATCAGCACCGGCATCATCTAATCATCATCATGATATCATCATCATCACCATCATCATCGTCGTTATCAGAATCAGCAACTCTACTCCTGCTACGCACGTCCTACTCCCGCTCCCAGTCCCGCTTCCAGTCCCACCCCTCCTCCGCCTCCTCCTACTACTGCTACTACTGATTACTACTGCTGCTACTGCTGCTGCTGCTACTACTACTACTACTACTTCTGCTACTACTTCTGCTGCTACTACTACTACCACTACTACTACTGCTAGTAGTAGTAGTAGTAGTAGTAGTAGTAGTAGTAGTAATACTATTACTACTACTACTACTACTACTACTACTACTACTAGTACTACTAGTACTACTAGTACTACTAGTACTACTAGGTACTACTAGTACTACTAGTACTACNNCGACGACGACGACTACTACTACACTAGTACAGTGTGCCGGGTAAATGGAACGATAGATCGGAGAGTAAGTCTTGGTGGTTTTGCTGTCTTGCAATCTAGGTCAATCTTGGTGGGAAAACCAAGA